ATGAATATGAAGTCCTTTAATAATTTTTGTGATATGCTGCAGTAATATAAAAATTAATTGCAAAATGACTTCTACTACATGGAAAGAACGATTTTGCTGGAAGGTTTAAAAATTTTGCTCAATACTGCAGATCTGAAAATAATTCCTGCTGGATTAACAAAATAATTTTGTTGGAAAATCAAACTGATTGGTAGAATATCAAAACGTTTTACAGCAATGCTTATCATTTTTTGAGTTTTGAGTGATAAAAAATATCAAAACTTTTTGCTCTGAGCTCTGCAAAAAACATCGATAATTTTGAGTAATTATACCTTACACTTGTATTATACGGATTAATTTCGAGATCAAACAAAAACTATCACAAGGATATTCTCAATAACGCGAGAACTACTTCTGGGAAGTTTCTAAGACAAAAATGAAACGGCAGCAGACGTTTGAATACGCGATTTTCTTACGAGACCGACTTCGCATATACGGTCATTGTTCGTTGCCGCCGATCGATAACGCCTCCGTGGTTAAAGTCCGCGGGTACAAGAACGAGACTGCCCGTCCCGTGTCGCGACGCGTGGTGAAATTCTATCAGCTCTCTCCCTAAGAATGGGCGCGAGATTGCCTCTACATGGAATAATTCACTCTTGGTATCGTCGGATGGCGAGGTACGCCGCGCCGGCCTCTTCCGTCGTGCGGAGAGATTTTAAACTTTTCTATCCTCGCGTGCGCGGAGAACAGCGATATGGCGAAGTTCCTACGGTCTAGACGAATCCTCGCCTCGGCGTGAGGATAATCCGATACGGCTTGCCGGGAATGTAATTTACTCGAGCGGGGGTAGGGAAAGGCCCCGCGCGCGCGCGCGCGCGTCACCGTCGAACCTCTTTATTCCCCCCTCGTCGTCCCCCTAACCGCCAATCCGCCACGGGTACATCCTCCCGGTCTCTCGCGGACACATTTTCCAGACTGTATTAGATTCTCCTCCCGGGAGTTTTGTAAATACAATATCTTGTTCGCGGCAAAATGGCAAATGATCCAATAATTCTCCCCAGACGTGTATCGAATAAGGTCCCCTTAACAAATTATATTGTTACTCCGTCGAAGAGATTGTCTATCATGTGATGCATTTTATAATTTTTGAAGGCAACGGACATTTGTCTTATATAAATTTTTTATATGACAAATTAAAACAAATCATTATCTATTTTTTTTCAAATAAAAATACAGCTTAATTTTTAATTTTATTAACTCACATTAACATTCACCATTAAAGTCTCAATATAATTTATATATATTTGTTGAAATGTAATGTCTCTCTCTCTCTCTTTCTCTCTCTCTCTTTCATTCGCATAAATTATAATTATTTCCTACATGTAATGAATCTTACTGAGCACTTATTAATAACGATGTGGAATAATTATATCCTCTTCGGTAAATATGATCCAGCCGACGCACGCGTATAGCGCGATCCGCGGGATTAATGAGATCGGCAGCTATCCAAAGCCCCATCTAAATTACACGCTTGGAAAAACGCCAGGATAAATGAAGTCAACGAAAGAGACGACGACGGTCGCGCGATAAGCAAGCGGGAGTCGCCCGACCGGTCCGCCCGACGGGCGCATTCGATCTCGCCGCGATCAGCAGCAGGTCGGTTCTCTCGATTTCCGCGGAACCGCCGCGCTTAATTTCGGCAGAAGAATTACGAATTAGATTTAACCCGTCGCGACGGGCGGCTGCAATTTATCGCGGCTTACATACACATACCGCGCGCCGCGGCGCCGACAACGTTCGTGACTGGAAAAGTATCAGGTGGATTTGTGGAAACGCGGCGGAACGTCCAGCCCCGGATTACTTATACGTTTGCTCGGTGAATAATTAGCCGTTGTGTGTCCCGAAAAAGAAACGGAGAAATGGGACGAAAAAAAAACTATGTATCCTGTTCTCCCGCGCGATAATTAATTTTGTCCGACCGCCTACGGCGTCTTACGCGGTTCCCACAATTCTAATCGCGCTGCACGGAATCGTGCAAGTTTCTCGTTTAATAAAAGGTAACCGAAGAAACATTTGTACAAGTTAACATTAATTGCGTAATTATTTACATCGAAACATATTTTTCGCAATAAATTCTTTACTTTAAGATGTCTATTTATAGCATAATTATCAATTCAATTTAATTTATATAATATTACGGTTTCAGCTTCAATTTATGATTGCGTTTCAAGTGCAGTGCGGCGCAGTTTGCGGAACTGGAAAATGTATTTACATAAAATTATTAGAATTAATATTATTAAGCATCAAGATCCTCGACCGTATTTCGCGCTTCTTTATCTGTATTCTCTATCTGTATTATTTACATCGAACAATTTTGACGTAATTGCAATTAAATTAAGCAATTAGTAATTAAAAATGTTAATTACGTTATTATTCACGACGAAAAATTTCGTCACTCGCAATCAGCGCAGAACAAGTTTCCCCTCCGTTGTTACATATCATTAGAATAAAATTACAGTCATGTAATTTAAGTGAAATTCACAGCAGGATTTCCATATTCCACGGTGTGTACACGCGCGCGCACGCGCGCGCTCTTGTATTGTAATTAAAACCCCATAGAAATGGTACATGCGATTTGTACCGACCGGTGAAAAGCGGCGTATATATTTATCATCAAATTATATGCCAACCCCTCTCATATATGTATAAAAGACCAATCAACCTATCGTTCAATCCGCACTCTCGCATCCTGCGAAGCGAGATACACAAAGGGACACGACAAAGGATCGCAAAGCGCCACGAGCGTCCGTCCGGATCGTGCACGCAGCTGCGAAAAGCGGCGTCCGTGATGCCGCAACGACGGCGGGGATGATGCGAGGAAAATCGACGGAAGGAGGGGGGGGGGACCATGCCTTCGACTTCCGACTTACGATCGCGTGATGCGCGATAAATAATTCGAGATCCGCTCGCGGCAGTCCGTTCGCGGAAAACGCGTAAATCATACGAAATTACACGGGCGACGACGACCGAGGGGATGATCTCCGCCCACCCTTGTTCGCCCGCGCTTGTTTTTGGTCGTGATATTTCACAGTCTTGCGAGAAAGGGGGAGGGGGGGGTGGGCGCGGAAAAGGGCACGTCAGAAGCACGGCCATCGTGTCCCTATCATCCACATCCCATTGCGAAAGGTCCGTCTTAGCAGGCGAGACGAGACGTACTCTCCTTTCTGCTGCCCGACTCCGGCAACGTGGAAGTGGATTAAAATGCGGACGCGGTTCGGAATATAACGGACTCCGCCGTCGGTCGGTCTCTGCATATATGTATACGCGCGCGCGATCTTTTCATCTCGATGGAAACGTCGAGGTAATCGCGAATGCTTTATGCCGGAAATTGCGCGGCGGGAAATGAAGTGCGGTTATAAGTATATGTACGTACATATATACTCGGCTGTATCTGCAATAATGAAATATCGCGTAAAATGCAAAAATGTCGCAGGTTTTTCTCGTGTTTTAACGTTGTTCGCCGCGCGAATATGTGAAACTTTATTATGACGCGACAGCGTTACCGTTGTTACGCGGTAATCTTTTTTTCAGCAAGAAATTATTTCCTGCATGCTTTGAGGAAAGAGTTTAATGTTAATCAGACTTGAATTACATTTGAATATCTCAATCTCGCTGTTTATGATAATAATTTCATACGGCGTAATCTTCTGTCTGCGACAGATGAGTTTTATACTCGATAGATTAAGTAAATATTCCCCAAAAAATAAATATTTATAAAGTTGTAAGCGTAATGAGAGAAAATTGCGTACGCAGGTAAGTACTTGGGCATCGCTCAACGTTGATATCATAAAATATGAAATAATTAAATTAATGTAATAATAGCTCATTATATAATTATATATATATATATATATATATATATATATATATATATATGATGTAACTCCTAAAGATATCGATGACTATCTCTAAAGTGCCTCAGATAATTAAGTCAGGACGATCCAAGTAATTTCGCACTATCGGCAATGCCAATCAGTAACAACGCGTCGAACGGCCCGACGGATATTGCGAAGATCATGGTGGATAACGGGATAAATCGGTCGGTGGCGTTAGGCGCCACGCTGGAAGTGACATAACGCGAATAAACCGTGCGACAGGAGAGAAACGTGATTACGTGAGGGGCGGAGAGACGCACTCGGCCTTCTCTATCTCGGGGGGGGGGGAGGGGAGGGCCAGGGAGAGTTCCTGCAGTCTACGGGGGTCTGGTTTACGAGGGTCGTCGTTATCTGATACGGCAAAACGGCACTGAATGCCACCGCAGAGAGCAGCGTGGCAGCCAGCCGCGCGGATCTGCAGGTCCGAACCGAAACCACCACCACCACCACCACCATCGGACCGTCCTCGCGAGTCCTGCAGTCTCGTTCCGGCGAGAGCGGGGCGAAGTTAAACGGATCGGCGACTCCGTGCAAGACAAAGACTGTAGTTTTCAAGTGCCTTCGACCGCGCGAATAGAGCTACCGCCCGGAGTTCGATCGAGTTGGCTACTCTCCCGGTTCCGGACCGATGGTAATTTATTTTACCGCCACTACTCTAATCTCCTTTCCGAGGCGGAGGAGGCAAGCGTATGCGGGATAAAAATTTCAGCCGCGCGGAAATGCGATAAGCCTTTGACATTTTTATTAAACAATTTTATTAAAATTTTCAGTAGCTATTTGTATCCGATCTATGCTTACGTCACAGCAATATTTGATTTAAAGTAATCATGTAATCGCCGTTATTAAAATTAAGTTACCCAATTCCACGTGCTAATGTCTATCAAAATGCCTATTCGATATTTTTACAAATTTGTCTATCAACTTTATCAAGTTTTTATCTCTACGACTTGTGCCAATGGTTTCCATAAAATACATTGAAAATGATTTATATCTTTCGAAATATCTTTTGATGAGTATGATTAGTATTCAAGCATGCTCCTATAGCTGAGACGCGTCGTCGATTTTTCGCTTTTACTGGAACGAGTTTGTCATCCTGCGAATATTCTGCATAAAGTAAATACCAAGGTAAATACCTTGTTTATCTGTCGCTGCAACTTTGTGATCGTCGCTCGATCTCGTTGAGCCGCGATGCGTTCCGCCAGCAGCGCTTGCTCCAGCTCTTGCACTCGCTCCTCTAAACTCTCCTGCAACAACAAAAAACAAAATGTTAGTAACAAAATAAATAAGATGTCAGAATTGTATAAATATTATTATTCATGCAATAAGTAATGATATTTATTATTATATTTATTATATCAAGATTCAGCCTCGACCGTACTTGGCGCTTCTATATATACTTATTTGTGTTTTATTATACACATTTACCGCAATATGCAGACAAGGGTTTTATATGTTTACCACGTGTGTAAACAGTATAAAAATAATCGAATGGTATGTACGCAAATTAGAATCGCTTGTGTGCCGAGAAAATGGTACGTAACTCGCGTATAGCGATCGCATGGCGCCGTTACACCGATTTCCAATTAACTTCTCGTCGAGCGACGCAATTCCGAAGTCCGTCCGTAACTTTCGACGGGGATATCCCCGAACGTAATTCCCGTTACCTGAGTTTTAAGCTGCCTTAACAGGGGCTTAAACTTCAAGGAGAGAGAGATCACACTCTCCTCCGTATACTTGGAGATTACGCGCCGATGCACGTCGGAGAGTCGGATCCCGAAAGCGAGAAACCTTGTCGGGTCCGGTCGATTCTTGTCTGCTCTGCGGCTCGCCAAGAAAGACATCGATGCTCCCAAGTAACCTTGAAGTGGCCGCAAAATAAAGTCGACCCCAGCGCGCGATTAACTTTCATTTAAATTCAATTTGAGAATTTCGTATCTCATTTCACAATAATTATAATTTAATGTCATTGAAGCCACAAAAAACTACGTTTAGAATTTTAATTCGAGACTAATGATTTTTCAAGTAAAAATAAGTCGACCCCAAAATATCGATTCAGTAATTGCTTATTTAATGTTTCAAGACAACCAACTCAAAGATTAATTATTAATGGCACTTTCATTTTAAATCCTTACAGTCAATATTGGTCTCTCGAAAAATTATCCAAGAGTTTCATTAATGTTTCAAGAGTCTTGATTAATGAAAGATCACGAGACATTCATTCGTTTGAATTGGAGCTCGTCCAACGGGCACAGAAAGATTCAACCTTTTCAGCTTCCACCGCAATCTTCGCGACAATCTTGGCGACGCCGCCGTAGCCGTGCCCGAATTGATTTACATCCTTCGTAAGGCATTTCTGATTATCAGCGACGGTTATTGGGGCCGCGCCGCCGCGCCGGGGCGGAATGATAATGAGCGAGGACCTTCCCTTGGTCTACAGGGACTATTGGTCGCGATTTGACCGTAAGTATTGGGCCGCGATCTATTAGATTCGAGGCAACGCCGACTCGGCGTCGGCGCTGTGGCCCCCTTCCTCCTCCTCCTCCTCGTCGTCGTTCTCGATTCCTTCTCGTACACGCGGACGCATTCGTATGCGGGGGCACGTAGCCGCAATTCACCCTACCCGAACCCCTTTCTCGGCCACCGCCGATGTGCCGCGCCGACAACGCGCCAGCCATTGTTTGCCGCGAACGCTGGGCTCTCTCGTCCCGCACGCAGCAACTGCGGGGACACTTTACTTTTAAATCCGCACCGTCGCGAAAGGGAAAATTTCTCTCGGCCGTGCTTCCGAAAGAGGCTTGCGAATCACGCGGAAATTTAAAGTGTGCCTTTCAACAAAAGCAAATGTCAAAAATCTCTCGCGCTAACAGACAAGTTTCGGTACGTTAAGCGACAAGAGATAATAATCATTACCTCCGAATTCTCGAAATTTTTCGCGCGATAAAGCATAGTGTAAATAGTAATCGCAAATATAAATTTAATTAAGAATTGTATAATGCACACATTGCGGCTATGCACTACCCCCCCCCCCCGTGTAAGGTAACTCGACGTGATGGATGATCAAAAGGAAAGAAAACCGCGAAATGGATTGCGTCCCGCGCTCTGAAATATATCACGTCCCGAATAATTAAGAAACTGCGTGGCGGAAGAGCGTAAGGCCTTTCGTGACGCGAAGTCATTCTTTCGCCCGAAGGAAAATGTTGCAAGTCCGCTAGATCGGTATGCAAGATCTCTCGCTCTCTCTCTCTCTCTACTGTTGGAAACTCAAGATCGGATGTTTGGCTGCTTTGCTCTACCGAGCCGGACATTACAAATGATAAGAAAATGTACGAAACATGTCCCGATATTGATTCAACGATAAGAGATTTTAAATATGTAGCAGCGGCGGTGTGGAATTAATGAAGGGCATTCCGAATGAGAGATCCACGATACACGGGGACTGTATCGATTGCGGCCCGCTATCGCGCGAGCGATTAAAATTCCTCTCTCGTGCAACGTCGCGCCGACTTTATTATTGTCGCTGCCCGTTTTACTCTGGCGTTCTCCAAGGATTTACGGCCACCCCGCGCGCCCAAAGAGCATAATCGATATTCGATAACTCTTGAATCGCTCGTGAGAAAGAGAGAGAAGGACCTGCCCGAGAAAAATAATCCACGGCGATAAATCATCCGTTAAGACGTGGCGGCGTTTTATTAACGTTAACGTTCTGTCACGCTAAGCAAACGTCACTTGGTGTACACTTGTTTATTTTCAGCTCGAATCAAACAGCTCTCGTAAAATCCACCTGTCGATGGAACGAAACGATCGCCTTGGCCGTTCGCGATCAATTAAACTGTAGCTGCTATTTTTTTTTCCACAAAGTTGATGCAGCGAATGTATTATACAAGTCGGAATAATTCACTCGCATTTGTGTCAAGAGCAAAAAACAATCAGACGAGCGAAGGGAATCGCAAAACGACGGTAAACGAATCCCATGATCGACGATTCCACGGTAAAGTAAATTATAAATTGTACATTTTATACTCGCCCGTATACAGTGATACGTTTCAAACGACCCGTGTTAAACGATCTATTTGTAACGTGATATTATAAAATAAATACTGATATCATGTATCTTTTATCGCATCATTATTCGCCCATTCAGCAAAACGGTATTAATTATATCGTATCATTTTGAAGCCGAAGCCGAATTAAATATCGGCTGAATTCATAATCGGTATCACGTGTCGTTGCGAAATATTCATTCGCCCGCTCATCCGGGCTATAATCCGATTACGGGAATTATTTATTTCGCGATATTACGCGCGGCCGCGGGTACAAACATCAATAAATCAAGACCGCGAGAGATGTCGGAGAAAGAGAGAGAGAGAGAGAGCCTCTCGCGTGTCGCCGCAAATATTCCTCGGTCATTTAGCAAAACGCTCTTATCTCCTTCATCCCTTCGCGTCGAGGCCTGCAATTATTACGGAGCGCCGGCCGACCGGAGCGCTCTCCGTGCATAACCAGTTCAGCCCTCAGCCCTGCGTGTAGGACGCGGGGGCCAACGAAGGGCTTGCGAGGGGTCGAGGGGCACGGCGAGGCCGGTATACATGTCCGAGGATCCGTAGAATTAGCGCGGGGACTTCCGGGACGTCATTTAAAGCGCGCGCCGCGATGAACCCACTCTATATGCAGAGATTCCGTTAAATTGCAAACGCCCGCTTCGCCCCACCTCCCCTCCCACCAGCCAGCCCCCGTCGAAAGGGTGGTCCCCGATGGGGAAGGGTTAAGGTATTGCCCTGCCGGCGACGTGTAATCAGGCCCGACTGACTCTTGAACGCCATCAGAGCGCTGCGTCTCTGCGACCTCCTTTCCGGGACACGGCGAGAGCGTGACGGAAGATCCGTCCGCGTTAATTTCGACGCGATTAACTGCGACGGGACTTTAATCACCGGAAGTAAACACGAGTTCGTTCGAGTAACGTAAGTCGAGTTATCCTCGCGTCAAGATCGGTCTAAGTCGTTAGTCGAGATTGAAACGTGATTGACAATTATGAGTAAACAGCAACGAAATTAATTCTTACGGCAATAATCGGATATAGTCGAGTGAAAGGAATTAAATGTGTGCTGTTGAGATTCCTTCGCGAATTGAAACTAGGGCGACAAATCGACGCGTGAACACACGCGTCTTCCACGCGAATTCCGCGCAAGACAATCCCATCTCTCTCTCCCGAGAGTTTTCACGGCGCGCGCGCGCGCGCCCGTCCTGATACGTCTCTCTTTTCCGCACTGAATTATGGTCGTGATTTCCGGCGAGATGGACCTTCCGGCCTGGCAGAGGTCCAGTACTTCGCCGAAAGTGCGCGGATAAATCAAACGCGTTTTTCGGGCTGCCGCCGCCACCAAGGCGTTAGTTTATTGCCATGTAAATCATCGGCGCCGCGGCGCCGCGGCCGGCCGTCGATAGAAAAATACATTCCGCCCGTTCCGCTCCTATAGGCCGCGACAAAGTAGCGAGTCTCATCGAAGCGTATGTAATAGATACGAATTTCGCCAGAAATAATATTGATACTTGAAGGTGAACGCGTATTCCGAGAATTGTCGTTTTTTCATATTGAATATTATCTTGGAACCTTGCCAGTATTCCATCATATCGCCAGATTTATTGCGATTATTCGTCACAAATGTAATCATGCTTGTTTTCTTATACGTTCCGGAGAAGATTCTTAGAAACATAACATATTATTTACAAAATTATAAAGTCTCGTCGATCGAAATATCTTCAAAGCAAAAACTTCCGATTTTTAATATATTAATATTATTGAAAAAGCTTATATAAAAAAGAGTCTTGCAGTACAAAATCGACATTAATATATTGTAAATAAACTGATGCAGTTTGTTGACTGCAACTGAAGAGTCCTAATTAAAAGAGTCACATATATAGCATCATTGCGAGTAGATTCCACGCGTTATTTCTCAAATATCACAACGTTTCACGGCTCGCAATTCATCCAAAGAATTGTCTCGCTTCTCCTTGTAATTTCTGGAACAATCTGTAGCAGGCGACTCCGTGTATCGACTCCAATGCTTAGCCGGTCGCTTCGAGGGCGCGTTATATCGCGTTTTATTGCCGTGGCGTGCGGATGGCATGTACTTTATAGAAGTAATAGTGACGGAATTTATAGGCGAAAGTCTTATGACATTTCCCTTCCGTGCGACATAAGCTTTATCGACACGTTATTATCTTTATTTACTCCGCGCGCGCCGCG